TATGCCAAACCCCTATCACAAAAAGGCTAGAAGCCTCTAGCTCATAAACAAAAGTTCAAGTGAAGTGTTTATGTTCCGATAAGTAATTCTGAAAACATATGACCCTGGAACGTTTCCCTTACACTCATTTGTTTATTCTAGACGGATGGAGGAGTTTGGCATATCGAAAACTGTGAACGTGCGGGTACTCGACATCATCTCGCCTCATGCATGTACGGTGGCTGGGCCTTACTCGACCAGAATCTTGACCTAGTAAAAAGTGATAAAACTGCGGGAGAACAACTTCTTTATGGAATAACTTTGTTGAGTGGTAGTACTCTCGCTTATACGACGTTTAATGACTACCAGGTAAGCACTGCCGTACTGTGATGTTTTTATTATGCGACAACTATGTTCATTGTTGTATTACTGTTTTTACTTTGTAAGGAATAAATTCATTCCGCAATATTATGAAAATCACCACCATATATCACAGATAGAATGAGCACTAAAGTCATAAATTACCCTAAAAAGTACGTGAATCTATACAAATATATACAATGCTATAAGACCATTGACGCACTTCCGACATGAGATGAATCGGTGAGAGCAGCATTTTGTGGGCTGCACGGTAATACGTATATATCCACTTTCCATGCTAAAGTCTCTATGGGGACATCTGAAGGAAAATGTCTTAGGCAAAAAAAATGAAACAAGGAGTAGAGGTAAGAATATCATCTTATAAAATGGAAGTATATATTCCTTAGTATATTTAGTAGCAGCCGTGAGGATTTTGGCATTAAGTAAATCGTATCAAGGTGCTGGGTCCTTTTATGGAGACGTGGAAGATCACGTGAGGGCAAGAAATAGTACGGGCTTCATTTCCACACAAATTCTTCCTTGTTTTTTCTTATGCAAAACCAGATATCAAGCAGAAAAGTATGAAGAGAATAGTATGAGCCATGAGGATGAGGATCTTCGCCCTGAACCTAGGGCGACAGAGCTCCAAACTAGGTGAACCAAGTTGTGCTCAGTAAGTAATATTCGTAGTTTTACAGAAGCTTACGACATACACCGCTCACCAGCCCCTACTAGTCCAACTGTGCTCTCTTTTGAAGGCAAACTGTACGCTCACGTCCGAGGGCTGCTTTTTACATTTGCGAGCTGAATGGGTCCGCACCTTCAGTGGCGCGCCCCTCCCCGCTCAAAAGTGCAGGAAAGCGGGGCTGAAGGGTGGTAAAGTGTAGTGATTCTCAATGCCATCCCCACACTCCGCTCGCGCATCCTCAAGGTGCACCAGTTGTGCCGATGCCAAGGTCCCACAGCGAAATATGCACTGTGCGGTGGGGCACAGCCAGAAGTGAGACGGCGCAGACAAGTAGCGCGTTCGACTATAGTTTGATGCTGGCGGTGCGGCAGCATGAACGAAGGCGGCGCTCGGGTACCATTGCCCTTCAGCCCTGTTCTCGTGCACTTTTTGAGCGGAGAATGTGGCTTTCTATTGCAGTCTATCCACTCTTCCCACGCACGGCAAAGATACGGATGCACGGCAGAGAGTTGTTTAGTCTTCGATTCTTTTATGATAAAAAAAAAAACCGAAATAGAACGTAATACTAGATTTCCGACAAATTTAGGCAAAAAAAATTCGACAGACCAATGGTAACGTGCGCCTTCCAGAAGGGAACCATGATTTACCAATCGCGGTGCCTTACAAACTTCACCATATACAACATTTATAAGTGGAGCGGAAGTTACAAACTCGAAACGTAGTCTCCATTTCAAATGAACTAGAAAAAACAGTATCTACAACTATCTGTGACTATGGGTGTCTCTACCAATAGAAAAAACAAGCACACCCACCGTGTTCGGTATTGAAAGGTTGGCGCACGCATGCATCGATGGATGTTCGAAACTATCTGACGCAAAAGCACAAACCACATAGTCATTTGAATGCACCGTTGTGTTACTCTGAAAAACTAGCAGAAATCTAAATGCGATGAGGCAGCGAAAGGGGCAAAACGCAAATATTTTATGTATTCCGTAATGGCATAGATGGCCATTCAAGAAGCCTGAAAGTGCACAAATGAAGTCGTTTTTGGCCATAGCTGATCTACCAAATTAAATTTTCACGCAATGGAAAAGTCAGAAACAGTGAACTTCTCAGGGTTTAGCTTCTACCTTGCTCTTCAAAAATCAATGTGAATGGAAATACGAACCATTCCTTCAGCCTTAAGTTCGCCATGCTCTCCAACAACGTCCTCGGCGAGTTGCTCAACTGTTTCCAAATGCACGGAGTATTGAACACACGGCACATCGGCCTCTGTCAAGAAACTGCTGATTTGTATTTTTCTATGAAAGTGAAACAAAAGAATACCAGTTTACCTTCAAAGCTCAGAATTCCTAAGATGTCTTCCCCTAATCGGAATGTCTTTTTAAACAATGTCATAGTAGCCACTTTTCCTTGAGTATTTGTCATACTAAACATATGCGGTCGCTTTGGAGCAGTAATCTCATCAACGGCGGCCATTACAGTCTGAAAACAACTGGAGTGTTACTCATATTGATACCACACAACTAATATTATATCCGAGGATTAAAGAGAGATAAACACAGCCAACAAATGGGAGACATTTGAAGAGCTTAAGAGCTGATGTAGCGAATTTTTGCTACAGTTTTTCAAAATCAGCTAAGTGGTCCCTTTTTTGAAAATTTTCGAAAAATTGGCTCCACACTCGGCATCTTTCAAACAAGATAAAAAAATAATAGGAATGAAGTCTCCGCCCTTTCCAAAAATCAGTCCCTTTTTGGAATGCAGTACGCATTCTCTCTCCATTCAAAGTCGTAGTGGCTTACTGAATGCGATGTGGCCTATACAATGACTTGCGGTGGCCAGCCGATGTACAAGTCAGTGTTTTATCCTCCCAGACGAATCTGGTACCAATTCACCGTCCCCGGAGGGTAGAAGGCTTGGTTGGCCTGGGCAACACCTAACGAAGCGTTTTCGCGGGAGAAAAAAAACCGGCAGTGGACGAAGTTAGTCCGCCCTTATCGACGAGATTTTCGTCTGCTCGGGCAGTGACCGGTTATTCCGTCTACAGTGGGGAACGAGATTTCCCCGTACCTTCAAAAGCGAAAAACGCGAAAAAATCACGAAAGAAATCACGAAAAAAACCGGCATGGAGTCCCCTTAGGGACGAGTTTTTTGCTCAAAAGGGCATTATGATGCCCTTCGAGCAAAAATAGCAAAAATACCTTGCTTCTCGGCCACCTTTGCCGAAAAGCAAAAGTACCGGCCCTTTTCAAGGGGCCAGTGGGGATGAGGCGTTTTAAAAAAACTCGATCGGATAGGCCGATCAAGCGCCTAGGCAACAGCCGGTCCCCCCCCCCCGACCCCGTGCATGTGTGCGGGTCAGTTGCTATTACATCACCAATAACATCCAGATCAGAAAATTAAGGAATGAGATAAGCTCGAAAAATTCAGCACTCGAAAAAAAGCAATATGAGAAAGAATGCGAGTATCACAACATGAAAATTTTTCAAACAAGCGAGATCAATTCAAAAATACTTCTCGAAAGGAACAAAGAGAATCACCTCACTAGATTTTTTCTAGTTCCAACGTACCTGTGATATAGTTGCATGCGATATGCCTGCAGATAAGAACGGATTTTTCTCCGCTTTGGAAATTTCATCAACGCCAACGGAAGGGATGATCCTGCAGAATTTGAGCCGTTACAAAAGTTGCGTAAAAATCAAAGTTCTTACTCTGTATTCCAGAATTTCGCAATAGAGTAGTACTGCAAAGTTGAGAAATGAAGACACGCACAGAAAACAGAAAGAAAGAAGCTCATACAAAGGAAGAACATACAGAAAAAGCGCACTTGTCTTTGATCAAAGAAAAAACTAGCATTACTTATCCTCTCTGCCCTTCATTCGAATTATGGACACGATTTGAAATGCTCTGTGAAAAACTGCTATAAATTCAATTACCGAGGTACTCTGACATCTGGATAACCTACTAACGCGAAAACGCCCGGAATCCACCAACTTCCGTCAGATTCTCGCACGAGTATTGATCTGACTTCTAAGGTGTACAGTAGAAGTTGTCCATGCATAGTTACCCCGCTCCTCGAACCCATCCTTTTACCAAGATTTTGCCGCAAGAATCAGAAAACGGAAATAGCGGATAAACTGCTTGAACTCATACTGGTTCGCCTCCAACATTCACAAAAAACCTGCTCGAGCTTTGTGCACTCCAAGACTCACCTTACTGGGATGTGCATTAGTTTGATAGGAGCGCGAACATGTTGTACGGCCACTGTTATGCGATTCAAATACTTCACCAAGTGACCACGGAACGACGGTGGCAAATCGTGGGTAGGCAAAGGTATCTATAATTGCAACTCGTTTATGTGAACTGCCCTCAAGAAAGAGTTGGTTCAACAGCAAAAATCACCTCACAAGAGAAGTATCGAGCTTCGCCGTGGTTCAACTCAACATCACAGAACAGCACGTTTGGCTTGGATGAATACACCGTAGAAGCGCTCCGAGCTATCGCCGTTGTTGGCCGATCTCGGGACGCCACCTGTGCTCCCATAGTGCGTTCTGATAAAAAAAACTGCTGATTACATGCAACACAAAACGGAAAGCCAGAAGAACTCACCACATGTGAGTTGCACACTTCCCCAAGCCAATGATTCACGTCCTTTCGGAGCCAAGTTTTTCAGAGTTACCTGGAAACATATAGTGGAATGGAAAAGGTCTCCATCGTGGTTAAAGGCCGGAACTAACTATAAAACTCTCACCTTAACTACAATAACTTCTCCAGTCAGATATATAGCCGCATCTCTGTCCAAGGCCGCAGAAACTTCAAGAGTCATCCCGATAGAGACCCAGTATGACTGTTCCGCCGAACCCACAGAATATGATATAGCGACAATATTGCAATACAGCTGTGATATGTGATAGAATAGGCAATCAAATTTAACAGCAGTGAGCTCACAGATGGTTGATGTAATATCTGAGGTACTTTCTGAGGATGCACCTGCTGCATTCAAGGCCACGCCGCAGTGTTCATTTTCGAGTTGAAAATTCGCTTCATGCACGTTTACCATCGTCTAACCATGTTTTTCCTTCTTTAAAATGTCTATTATTCTTTTTACTTTGTATTGTATGCTACTTAGGATCTCTTCGTTCTCGGAAGCCGACTAATATGGCTTTTTACGCTCAACGTTTTGAAATTGTTTCAAATACTAAACCATCAAATTTAGGTTCATCAATTCCATTTCAAGCCGGTGGTCAAAGGAAGCATTCAAAATGGTAGAATTTCATTTTAAGTGATCAAACCCTTTTCTGGAAGCGTGTTGTATATAACAAAATGTTCTATTTCAGTTGTTTTTCTCTTTCTTCAAATCTCTTGTTGGTCAGGATGTTGTCGTGGAGTTGAAAAACGATTTAAGGTAGGTCGCTGTGAACCTTTGGTGTTTTTTTAGAAGTTTATGAAGATGAATGCACAAAGCGTTGTTTTGCAAATCACATTTTGCAGTATTGTAATCGGAACCTTCTGTAGAAGAAATGTCGCATATTTCTTCTAAATTTTTGAGCCTCTTTTCAGTATTTGCGGAACTTTGCATTCTGTGGATCAGTATTTAAACATGAAGCTCACTGATATTTCTGTTGCCGAGCCTGAGAAATTCCCTCAAATGCATGCCGTGAAGAACTGCTTTATACGAGGTTCAGTTGTACGGTACGTCATTCACTACTATCATTCACTACTACTACTACTACCACTTTTACTTGTATTCAAACTTTTCATCATTATTGGAAAGCTTTGTAAATGTTTGGGCGCAATTCGGCGACGGGTGGTAGGGGGGATATTTTGCACTTTCGCTACTTACCATCGTCGTGTCTAGCCATCTAATGGAGACCGTATGGAACTTAAGGCACAGAATGATATCAGCCAAAGTTTGGAGAGGCCATGTGCACGAACTTATAAGGAAGTGAAATAGTGGTGGCTCAACGAGCTCGCTTCTAGAGTTCGCAGGTTTCACTATAAGGAGACTTTTAAACCGGGACTAGTGAAGCAGCAAAATGCCCTACCCCCCCCCCCCAGCCCCCGTCGCGTAACTGCGCCAACGTTTGTATCAGTTTCTTTGCATAACAATGGAAAAGAGATAGCCTAGAATTGAAACTTCCAAGCCGTCATGTGTCATTCACTCCCTATGGATCCCCTTCAGCGGGATACCTGAGTTGACGCGAGTGAAATTTGTTTACATCTTGGGCCTTAACTTGTACAGTACCTTGGCCATGGGCTAATTTTTGAACCACCGGGTTTTCTCTTCTGTTAAAATGGTCGTCAGTATGGTTCTATAGATGGCTAGCTCAAGGTCGTCAAAGGTAATCACTAATTCCTTTTCATTCATCCTGTGTCGTTGGTCAAAGAACTGTATTTGATCAAATGCGATTGCTTTGTAGCATTTCTATAACTTTCGTTCAGGTATGTGCAGCTCCCAGCTGATCGGGTTGACACGCAATTGCTCCAGGACGCATCAAGAAAAGAAGCTGCAGCTCAAAGCAGAAAATAACATTGAGAAACAAATCTAGTAAAGTATTTCTCTCGAATGCAGTTCGGATTTTGATCTCCAATTGATAAAATTTGTCTATTTTTCGGGGTTTTGATTTTTTTCGTAGATAGGGTAATAGGCATAAAGGAGAGATCTTTTCATGCTCTCATACTCTTCTGTCAGTTTTCATTTGATATGTGGCCATGCGCAATCCCTGGACGTGGGGATCTTGGTGTGGTGGAAAGTGGCGCGTTTACCATGCGCGTGCGCTCCAGTGACATTGAATGCAGGCCGGCTCTCATCCGCTCAGGCGGCGTGAATTCGGTCCTAGATCTCGTCTGGGAGGATAGGAACGCTGACTTGTAAAAAACTTGTACATCATCATCCCCGAATGTCATTGTGAATGCCACATCGCACCCAATAAGTCACTAGTTTTCCAAATGAAAAATGGGTGGCAGGTTCGCCATCCAGAAGGATTGTATCAACAGGCGGAAATTCATCAGCTTTTCATATTGCCATCGCATCTTTTAGTGCCTGCCTTTCTTTGTATGGATTTGTCCTTTACACAGCATTCGCATCTGGTTCTATACTAGACAAACATTCACAATCTATTTCATGAACTCTACTCACTGAACTGATAGGTATTACTCCGTCTGGTTGCTCTTCGTTTAGTTATTTCCTTGCGTAATATGAAGAAGAACTTGTGTGGTGAAGTGTATCGGTTCCTGCCGACATCATCACAGGGTGCGCCAATTAGCTGTGATAAAGACCACCCTTTTAGAAGCGGGAAAGCAATGTATAGATTGCTGGTTCTGTAAAAGTAATTAATAGGCAGGAAGCCATTTCTGTACGAGTGGCACCCTCCTCCTGAGGTGACAACAGGCTCTAAGCAAGAATATTGGGAAACCCAACGTGCGCTCAACGAAAAAAATTGGTACTTTGGAGAGAATCGTCACAAGATTACTCTGTTTGCAGTGTACTGGTAGGACTGTAGTGTGTAGAGTAGGCCTTGCTCTTCTAGGCCTTTCAAGTCGGACCACGCGAAACATCCCATTATTTTCCCTAGGGGTTGTGGGAGGGTCAGCCCTGAACGCTGATGAAATGCGGTGGGGTGACTGGGACCGCTGAGAAGTCGCCCTCGCGTTTTTGAGGACGTTCTGAATTCCTTGCAATGCCCGTTCGCGTATAGAGGCACATCTGGTCCACCGGATCAAAATACCCAAAAGCACGTTTTCCAAGTACAATCCTCTGCTAATTTAGTGCCTTCTCCGATAAAAATCACTTGGAACTCGGCTTCGCGAGTTGCGTTGAGGCCCAAAATAGCGATTCTCCTGAATCTTTTAGTTGCTTATAGTGGTGCTCTCCTTTCTTCAGAAGATGTACATTGCATGCAGTCTTCCGAACGATTGTCACAAAACGCGATGTCTTGGCGGCGTGCCAACAGAAACCATTCAAAGGGCCATCGTGTAATACAGGTCTCGGTTTTCCTTCACGGCTGAAGTAAGAACTTGGTTTACAGCAGGGATGAGGCCTGAGCAAGTTTTTATGTTATGCTTATTCTGAGCGTTTCTGCAACTTTTTCTAGGCAACTTCTCGAATTGCGCTGTAATACATTATGGTATCATGCACCCTCCCCCCTTGTGCCAACCTTTTTGTTTAAGAATCAATAATTGATAGGTGGCAGTTCTTCCGGGAGCTCACTCGGATGCGTCGAGTTCTCCAACTACACGTGTTAGTCTCACAGTTCTTTTTTTTTGCTTTCTTGGGAGGGCGTCTGAGACGCAGTCCATATGATGTATATTCTGCACAAAAAACTAGTCTAAACCGACATTTTTGGCTATCTGAGGAAGCGTAACGGTGTTCGACGCTGCCAACTGATGAACATAACTTCTTTTCGGTTGGAGGAATGACAGATGGAGGCCGACTCGATTAGCGAGACTTCCTTTGCTAAACAATGTTTTTAATATATCTGTGGAGAGCGGAACAATTCGGTTTAAAACGCTCTAGACTTTCACATGTCGATATTTGTGCAAGTAATTATTGTTTGTCGAGGTGACGGCTTCACTCATCCCATAAATGCTGTGAAGTTACGCGCTGGGTAGCACACAAATTCAAAAAATACTTAAAAGCAACATAATTGAATGCTGGAACTGGCGAAATCAAAGCTGTTCCACTTGCGAAAGCAATTGGCTGTTACACCGCCGCGCCTAACCTATACGCCTATACCTACATCGTTCTGATTTTCTGTCCAGATACGAGTTTATGGGCATGCGCACACAGTCTGAATGCGCTTGAGCACGCTGGTCCTGGCTAGTGATGTGAGAACCCTTCCCCCTGCTCAGGGTGGGATGGCTTCGCGGCGGTAGAAGATGTGCACTTTCGAAGCTCGGAGTCGCTGAGAAAGCCAGGAGATCTGCACGTACTGTCTTGGCTCTCGCCCGGTTCAGCCTTCTTCTTCTCCTCTATGCTCCACTTCACAGTCACCATATGGTGGGTGATCCGCTCTCGTTCGTGCGCACTCTCTTCATCTTTTCCTTCCCTTCTTCACGATCAGTGCCTCTTCACAATATGCCCGCACTATGCTTAAACCAGCAAGGGCCTTATTCAGAGCGTTTTGACGAATATGCTATTTTGCTTCACCAGTAACCCAGTAACTCTCAAGACGATGATGGGCCGCAACGTTAGCAATAGATTTTCTCACATTGGCAAACTCGTTGGGCGCCAAGCAGAAGAACAAAGCCAAGGTGATTTCAATTCGCATTACACAGCCTTTGTTTTTTCACGCTACTTGCTTTCAATCTTTGGATTGCTTCTACAAAGAATAGAGCTCGAACGGCTGCAGCGAAGCAGATGTGCGTCTTTTCTTGACACATATCGGCCACTGATCAATGACTCTCACGTTTCTCACTCTTTATGATAGATGATGTCCGGAGGAGCTGGTGGAGCTTGTCTATCCAGCTTGATGGTCTTGCTTCGGTTCGTGCATCTACTTCAAGATTGAGCATTTCGACATAACCTTGTTGACTTTGCGATGCATTCTCTATTTTCGATATTCTTTTTTTTTTTGCCTTTCGTCAGGTTATTCATTCATAGACTCACTGAGCTCAATGGACTGCGAAGCATAATCATAGTTCCACCCATGAATCTCACAAAATCCCGTCTTACACGACGTTTTCAAAAATGCCCCCATACAGAAAATGTGGTAATTACCAATACCAATTCGCATGCCAACACCAAACTCTAGCTTGAAAAACAATTTTTTTCGTCAATTTTTTCAAAAATGGTCGTTCTGACAACGCAGCAAAAATATTAAGTTTCCAAAACTGCGGCTTTTAAAATTTCCGGGGGCTTTGCGTCTCATTTTGGTTCGGTTGAAAACTCTCATCATTATGATATCGCCTCTTCTAGGCTATGGCAAGTGAACTTATTAATCCCCTTCCGAAGTGACCTCGAAAAAGACAAGTATCGCAAAGAAGTCTCTAAAATTCTGGTTGACGTCGATCGCTCGGGGATCGGGCCGCACTCATCAATTTCTCATTAACAATTTTGTGCGAGAGGATCTACAACGTTATCGCGTTGAGATGGAGCCTCTGGTACATCCTCCTTCGCTTGCGCGATTGGATAACACCTTATCCTTTGTAAAGCATCAACTCTTGCAGTGTCGTATCGAGCGCAAATTAAGCATCTTTCGCAGGCTTATAGCTCTCGGAGGATACTGTTAGGCGCTGTCCTCTGGAAAACTCCTCAGTTCACCCATGGGACGAAATGAGTTAATGTTACTGTTTCTAAACGAAAAACCATCGCGAAAACCTAATTGGCTTTGCTCGAAGATGTTGCCGAACCCAACGGAGTGAGGTTGGCTTTTGGCTGCGGTGCCCTACTGCTTGTCTGTAGTGTTTTTTCAGTTTTTTTTTCTCGCGGTCGTGTTCTGTTGAGAAAAAATTCAACTGCGAACTGGCCCGATGAAAAACCGATTCGCTAGGCCCGACTGAAGCGAAGACAAGTTTCATTTTTCCGGGCGGAACTTCAGTGGATGTGGTCTCATGGTCTGGGCTGCCATCGCATGAATGGAACGTCTGAAACTGCGCTCCGTATGAAAAAAATGATTTCTTCCGTTATCTAAAAGTCATGCGACAACGTCTCCTTGCTTTCTGACGTAGAAATCAGCAAGAAAGTCCCGTTCTAACAGGACAGGCACCAGTTTCATGGACAGTCGAAGCACATCGACGTGATTCAGTGTCACCAAAACCGCTCTTTTGCCCTGAGCCAGCGAGACAATCGTACTTCCAGTTTTTTTTTTTGGCGAAACAATCGTACACCGTACCCCAAATGTGGCCGTAAAAAATCTGGATGCACACAACACAGCATCTCACGACAACAGCGTAGAAATCGCTTGTTGGGGAACGTAGTTGTTGCGATGCTAAGGATATCCAAAGGATTAGAACTATTGCATGTGATTAGAACGATTGCATGGAGTAGTGCTCGTAAGAACTATAGGTCCGTTGGATGCTCCAATAAATCATTTTTCTATTTATAAATGTACTTGTACAATTGGGTTTCAACGGCACTCATCAAAAATAGTCCGCGTTGGGTCAGAATTTCTCATAGCATTGCGGCGGAGTCTTTACACATTACTGAGGCATCTTGTTGAAGCATTTTCCAGATGGAAGTGTCACGACTTTCGCGAAATTGATTAAAACGGTACAACAAAATAGTTTTGCATGTTTTCTCCTTCACAGGTCACGCAATGCCCCGCTCAATGCTTGAATGCGTTGATTATGATTAATGAAAAAATTTAATTGCGGATTGACTGTGATTAATGCCCTGCTGTTTTCATGTTGCAAAGTAGTGGTTTCAATTAGCCACATTCTTAGACATGGTTCTGATAACAGTAGAGCCTCCTTGTCTTGTGTTTATCAGTGCCTGCTTGCTTCCTGTTGGTTTCCTGCGATACGAGGAATGATGACCATGCATAGTATTTGCAACAAAAATTACAGTTGTAAACGAGTACGAGATACATG